TTGGAAATGTGTTGCTGAAGTCCTATGTTTCACTTTGAATCCAAAGGAATAGTAATAATAACGCTCAGGCCAGCACTTCAGAAATATTAATCAACTAGCACAAAGTATCCAATAAAGCTACGTTGGCTGATAAAGTTTTCTTTCCTTTCCCTGTGTTTCATTTGATCATGAGATTTAGATGAAATAAGCCTTGATTTATTCTTTTTTAGTGTTTGATGACACGGAGATGATTCCCTCTTTCAGTTTTACAGCCATGTGATATGGCGTCCCCATTTTTCATTAATTGAAACATCTACATATACTGCTAATTTGGAATGGCTTAATTGTTAATGGAATAATTACCTTTTTTTAAAAAGTACTCAAAATTCTTTTTTTTATTCCTTCACGTTCCCCAGTGGAACATAGGGCCCCAAGCTAGTGACTTGAAGTTTCGGTAGCAGTGTTTATTTTGCAGGATGGGGTTTCTAGTCTCATGCCCAACCTTTCCTCTTTACCAGGATTATTTCTGGCGTAGTGAGGTAAAGGAGTGCGTCGACCGGGGATCGAACCCCAGACCATATGCACGGTCGGCGAGCGTCCTAACCGCTACGCCACCGATGCAGTGCTTAAAATTCAACATCTTCTAAAGTGATCGTGTCACTTATATGGCCAGACGTTTCTCCGAATTATACACTTCATACGCTTATAAAGGCGAACGTGTATATCATCACAGAAAGAAAAATTAATCTTTATATGTTTCATAGCTTTGTACCGTAGACATATCCAGTTTTCAGTTTTTACCATCTACATCTTTAATACATTTAATTTATGAGTGAATAAAATATCAATTTTTGTGATTTGTTATTTAAATGATATCCAGTTTATTTCATATATTCTGTTGAAGCTGATGAGTTCATTTTGAAAATGTTTGAATTCTGTTTTGTAGTCAGAATCAGTGATTTCAGATATTATCCTAAAATTAAGGAAGTTCTTCGTTCACATTCATTGTGTATCATGATTTGCACAGCCCTGAGCTTGAATGTCATCCTGATGTGTTCTGATGCCAGAAATGTGCACAGTTATTTTTCTTGATTGTTGAACATTGCATGAGGTGCGTGTAAGCACATAATGAAGTGTACAGGTCACCGTCATTAAATGTATGTCGTATCAGTTTTTATTCATGCTTAGGATCATCGAACCAATTGACTTCCTTCTGCTTAAGTCATTTGTTGCAGTTTATGTTTCTTTGATTAGCTGTTTGTCTTATATCTTATTTTGGTACCTTTGTATTTCTTTTGCTTATAGTAGATAGTGTGCGTTTTCACTGAACTTTAGTTTATTCTTGAACACTTCTGCTTAAGGGCACAATAACGGTTTCCTTACTGGTTTTTAACAATTCCAATGCATTTTAGTTCAATTTAGAGTTTTTTGTATTCATTTCTATCCACGAGAGTCTGTGTGATAATTTTGCTCACAGTTTCATGAGTAACTGGTCGCATTAATTTGAGTGATAATTCTTGTATTTCAAACAGTAACAAATTGACCATCTTAGTCACAATTAAGTGAAATCAAGATTCTTATGCATCGAATTAAGTGATATCTTAAAAGACTTCATCTACATAGTCGGAATAATTTTTGCATAACCACTTAGCATAAGTCTTATGCTTTCGAAAACAGTTAGAACAAACATTGTTGCAGAATAACATAGATCCACTTTATTTCGTTGGTCCTTGTCAGTTGCTTACAGCCTATAACATCTAATAAATCAGGGCTTATTCGTGCTGATGGACGAATGCACGTTAAAACTATATAATAATTTGTTTTGTTAAATGTTACAAGATTCAAAGAAATAAGATGGGTCCAACACCAATGTCTGATGTAACTCTATTCGAATTTATCAATGTTAATTTGCTTGTTAAGTCATATGGCTATTGTTCCGTATAGTGACGACATTTATGCTGTCACGCAGGGTGTTTTGCATGGTATAAAAAACTCCGTTTTCGCTACTGGTCCCTAGCAGATTATAATCACACAAGCCATACATCTGACCAGAAAATGTTATCTACACAGAAAACAGAATTAACTCTGTTATCATGAAGTATTGCCCATATTTTTCACACCTCATATTACACCAGTTAAAAGGCTATGCTCATGAAAAAAGTGTTGGAAACGATATAATTAAGAGCCACAGGATAACAAAACATCAAAACTGGAAACGATGGAAATAAAAAACATTGGAACAAGAATAGGTTTTGAATGCATCTGTGGTACAGGGATAAATTCAAACGTCAATTATATACAGTTATCGGTGCTTCATGAACACCAACAAATTACTCAACTCCTATTATCGGAATACTTATCAGTGCGGATCGGTCATTCAGTAGCACTTAATGTGTACTGCTATGAAGTCCATTGAAGAATATTTTTAAGAATAACCAATCTGCTGCCATTCTCTGTGTGAAACTCTGAATTCGATCGTCTTCGCCTAAAAAATACTTTTGTCTGAGTACTGTAGACCAGCTAAAGAGTCTTTTATTAGGAAAGCACCCTGAGAAAAATAAAGTGAATCAGACCTCCATAGACAGACTAGTAATAAATGTAAACACACTTCAGGTAAACGGTCCTCGCCATAATGTGAAAATAAACTGCAACTCTACAGGCATTTAACAGGGTGGAGTACTTGGGCAAAATTACTTTAGATTAGAGACCACCAAAAAACCCCTGCTTGTATTTTGACCTCAAATTTTACACATTTTGATAAATGGACCAGCCAACTGGAAAACTTCAGTAGGGAATTGTATTTATACGATAATGATAAAGGACGTTTCCTCCTATGGAGGACTGGGACAATTAAGGGTCCAGAATAGTCAAAGCAGATCATATCAGGCTGACATATTATAGCTAAACTTTAAATCGTTAAAACTTATATTTTTGAAAAGATGTCCTTAAACATCACTGAAGTGTTACTTTAGGCCGCATTGCTCTCCATCATTTAGTGTCTCTGACAGTTTTCTACTTTTTGTTACATGTGTAGGATTGTATTTCAAAACTGATTTCGCTCTGAAGCTTAAGAATGGAAAATTGAGGGACAGCTAAGTATCAGTTAACTAACGTCTTAAAGTGCTTATTTCACTGTTTTAGTCAGTGATTGGCTGACTAAACGAAGGAATGTTATTCTAAGCTAAAGTATGACTAAATATTGTATCCTTATGCTACTCCGTAATCGACCATTCTTATTTTCTTAGTGAGTTGAATTTCGTCTTTCATCATTTCATATGACTAGGAGGTAGATTTCTACTTAGGCTATATATGAGCTAATTTCTCTCCTTGACCAGATCAGTTTTTGCGCACATGCTAACGATTCTGCAACGGTTCTTTGTTCATCCGAGGTGCACTTATGCAGCCGGTGTGACAGAAGCGTCTGTGTAAACATTGAACATCAGATTTTAATAAATCATGAATAATGGTCTCGAGACTGTTAAGGGTTTCCAAAGGAAATACAGACTGCTTGAAAAGACGTTTCGGAGATTTACTGTCATTCGAAAATCGGGAACAAATACTAAGTATAAAGTTTCATAATGTATATTGGGAAATTTGTTGTCACGTTAACTTTTAAGTAAGAGCACACATTCCAGTGTTAAACTAACTCACTTCTAATCTAACTTAGGTTTGCATACAATTTTAGGCGTACAAGTGAAATTTGGATATTCTGGTGGAATATAATTCCATATTACATTGTAGTTCGGAGTAAGGACGCTTGCCAGCCATGCATGTGGTTCAAAGTTCGATCCCCGGATGACGTAAGTTTTAACCTCGCTAAGCTGACAGTAAGACAGTAAGAGGGAGGGCTGAGCGTGAGGCTATCAGTTTCATCCCGCAAAATTAAAAAAAACTGCTACTGAAACTTCGAAGTTCTAACCTGAAGCTCTGCGTTCCCTTGGGAGCGTTATGGAATAAAGTAGAGTAATATTTCCATATCACAAGGGCTTACCTGACATAACACAGTGATGCAATGTTATTCAGTGAACAAAACTCCAAGCACAATGTATTATTCACAATCGTATTCATATCTTTCTAACTTGCTTTAGATAGCAGGCCATTAGAGAAGTTAACTTCACCATTTGTACATCAGAATAAAAAGCCATATCAAAGTGGTGAAACAAATGATATTTTCTTGATTTTCTTTACCTAATAGGTGACATTAGCTAGTGTTGTAGTTATACGGCGAATTTATGCAAGAGCTGGAATTCGCAGGTTATCAAATTAATCCTTTTCAGGGTTAGAGACTATCTAGGTTCACCGGATGCGTTTATAGATTTTTGGTTACCTGATTGCCATTTATGTCACTGTTGCAAGTGACAACATACATGAATGAAGTCTTCTATTCATAGGAAGAATTCTAAAACGTATTTGTAATTCTTGACTTTTTGATGGTAATTTCGAGATAGCATATGTATTCATGAGCTCATTTATACTTTATAGTGATTGGTGTATCTTAATTTGTAAATTAAAGTATTGTGGTCTTTTTCAGGCATCTGATAATGTATGTGTTATTTGTATATCATAGATAAACACGGGCATCGTTGTTATCATTATCATCACATTATTATATGTGTATCAATGAAATAAATCCTTTTCGTTAGTAATAGTATTGATAATGAATGAGTATACGTGTGTATCGGAATGTATTATTTAGCTAATCAATAGATAGTACTGTAAGTGCAAAGCGAGAAACATTTAGAATCACATGCCTGGCAGTGTGTGTGAATATGAGCACACACTCACACACATGAAATCTAATTGAGTCTCACTAATATTCAATAGAATTTTTTGTGTAGGTCTCTTTTTCTACCAACAGGCTTAATTTTATTATCTTTATCTTTTCATAAGTCAACATTATTACAAACACCGTATTCATTGCCGTCATCGGGATTAACGTTCTTCTAATAGACAAGGTGGTGAATAAAGTTCTAATCGAAGAAAACTAACTGCAATCCTTTACGAAAATTCAAAGATAACAAATGACACGTGGAAGACGATCCAGCAGTGCTGACTCCTCACAGGAAAGAGATATCTTTTTTCAATGTCGCGGAAAGAAACTCAGTGTTACCGAGGTAGCTGAAGGTGAATCATTTTCGCGTTTCACAGCTGATCAGTTGATAAGAAAACATATTAAGAAAGGTCATACTAAAATAACTATGACTTGTTCAGAAGATCGACTGAAGTTAAGCAAAGTTTCAACGATTGCTCCACATTCTGTACGAAAATCAGTTCAGTATAGAGATATAACAAATTTTCTAGTATTCACTAGTAAACCAGGAGTATTTATGCTATGCATAAATGATTCAGAAACAAGAAAGAAAACTTATGAAAGCTTCTGTTGTGACGAACCATCTGATTTGGAAACACTGACTCGTTTAATCAGTTCTGCCAAACATGATCCTGAGCACAGACTATATAAAAGTTATAACACCTCAAGATCGACTATCGACATGAATAATGACATGTCAGCTGCCGATTACTTTGAAAGTGCTACAAATTTGAACAGTGAATCAGCAACTTATCAAAGTGGATTTCTGCGTGACAATGGATCGCCAAATACAGAAGCTACAGTACAGAATGATGTATTCCATAGTTCTTCAGTACCCTTATCTCCATCACATACATATAACAATCTACCCTCCGCAAACACAGTTTCAACGACTGAAATACCTAATGAAGGCGCATCAAATGGATACATTGTGCGCAGAACAAGCAGCAGTAATAGCAGTAGAGGAAAGGCGATGAGTAACTATAACTCTCCGAACGGGATGATTTCACCTCCCGGCAACAACAATGATTTCCATCCATTAATCGGTTATCAATCTAAAAGTCAACGTAAAGGCAGTAAATTCAGTAATGAAAATGATAGTGACCTAACGCCAATGAATTCTAGGAATCCAAGTTTTAGAAATCTGCTTCGAATAGATAACGAAAACATCTACACCCGTAAAGATGAGCTGATTGAATTATTCGACAATGATCTAACATTCCTTACATCTTCATCGAGTGATGTTTATGAATGCGAGAATGGTTCAAAGTATTTATTCTGTCAGTCAGGTTTGGAAAGGCTTCAGACATACGAAGGACCATTGTTTGAATCACCCGCCAGTTCAAGGAGATGAAACTTAATGAACAACTGAAAATTATTTGATGAATACGAAAACTTGATTAAATCATATGAACTACTTTTTTACTCCCATACAAAACACATGGGTAAGTCAACAGAACAAAATTATAATTCATGACTTTGTACCATTCAAAATCATTTTCAAATTTTAACGACGCTTGAACGAAAACTTATATTACATAACTTGACATGGTTTAACGATCATCATTTCACGCTGCTTTATGGTGCTTCCTTTTATATTTTGTTTTCCTTCGATTTATTTCATGCAATATAGCGTTCAACGATTGTCGTTTTCAAACAATTTGCTAACTGACTGATAAAAAAAAATAAATAAGTATGCATGAATACACCTTTTTTATGATTTTCAGTGACCCTATCAATGAAAAATATACACAGTTTTTGACTTCACTAGGTGAAGGTGGACAACAGTGAACAGTCTTCAATACAGATAGTACAAAATACACATTACCTTGCGATGTTACTTATTGTTAGACTGCTGATTATGGTGTCTTTTCTATTTAACATGTTGACTATAACTATCCAACTAATTAGTTTTAATTCCAGTTTATTCGTAAGTGGATTTTAGTCAAGCTTATATTGAAGACAAATTAGGCATTGCGCGATCTAGAGACCTTTCAAATGTATAATAAAAAATATAGTAGAGTTGTTTGTAATAAAGTATATCTTCTTGACAGTCATAATTTTTTTAAGAAAAACAAAGGCAAAATATGATTATTGATATAGTTAAATTCACGTAAACTTTTGTGCAGTAACCTGACCGAATAGCTCAATGGCAATATCAGCACTGAGAGGAGCTGGTTCAAATATCATAGATGATATCACTTCTTTCTAAGTGTACTGGTGCTAGTAAGCACAAAACTTAGCTCCGAATCCTCATGCTGTCTGCTTTTTACCTTCCAAAATGAATTCAAATGTGCACTAGTATCCAAGACTGGTGATCAGATTGCAAGTTGGCTAATGAATTCAATCTATGAAGATTGCTCTTGTCCGTCTGATTCTTTGATAATGATGATTTTCAGTTATGTATACAACACAGTTTATGTGTTATTTTTTGACCTCTGAAAGTTATGTTCTAAAAACCATGACCAATTATAAATGGGAATTCGTAGACACTTCACCTACCACATATACGATTAGAAGACAAACCGCAGCTTGTAAATACACAACTCTGTAAAGTCTGGAATGTTACTTACTTTCTAAGATCCAAAATACTGATTACGGCTGATGCACTCACCTAGTCAACTAGCTGGAAGTAAGTCCGGAAACGAAGGTAATGTCGGGCGCGAGACTAGCTAATTTAACCCGTGAAAAGAACACTGCCACTAAAACCTCAAAACCGGAAGCCATATGTTTCACTCAGTACGTTAAGAAATAAAGTACGAATAAGATCCAAAACACGTATCTATATCTTAATTCCAAATTTATTTCAATATTGAACCTATTCAGTGAGCCATTGTGAATCGTCAGCTGAAGCATAAAAAGATATACTTTAAAGAAAATTATATAACGAAACTGACTAGCGAAGTAAGTGGAGGGGGCAAATTATTTGCACAATTAAATGAAACATGTGTTCTTGATAGGCAATGGTTATAACTCAATGGTTTAAAGTTGAGACCTTAGATTTGGAATTTTGCGTACATCTGGTCTGAAAAGGGGAATTATATCTTGTCTTTTCTATATGAGGTCTAACTTATGTACCTGTGACTGCTATCTAGCTGCTACGTATCACTTTTTAACTTTTTGTTTTTTAAATTTAGGTTCAACTTTTTTCAGTAATACTTTAGGTGTGTCGACCAATAACACTTCGCAGAAGTAATTTCTGACATTTGCTGAATTATAAGATTACAGATGAGCAATCAAATCTCTTTATCTATTGTCGCATTCACTCGGCAATCACGAGTAGTAACTGGTATCTTATAAGGTTTAGCATACTGTGGTTAAGAATGATTCAAGTGATAATCCCATGATATTCGTTCAGGCTTAGATGACTGAGTTTAGTTGTAAAGCAGCCAGTATCGTCTACTTTTGTATAACGTTTAATACTTCAGAAGTGAGCAGCAAATGTGCTTTAAAAAGAAGCATTCTAACTTACTTGCTCAGCCATTCCTTATTTCAGGGAAACTATTAGTAAATATTGTTAACTTGTACTAAGTTTCTGAAAAGGCTCTAATGACTTTTTCTCTCAGGCACGGGCTCTCATAATGGTCTACCACACAAAAAGGTGAATCGGTAGATAAGACAAGTGGTACGGAGAACTAGCATAAATCGCATAATTGGTCAAGTTTCGTGAAACACATTAACCTATACTATTAAATTAAATAACCACATGAACAACTGCTGCTGTAATTCAAATATGAAAATAATGGACAGTAAAGTCATTAGGTACACATTCTTAGTCAAATGAACTGTAGTCAAGATTTGACAGAATAGTTCTAAAATATTTGGGAACCGAGTGAGAAGTAGACATTTGTAAAAAATTACTCATTTCAATATCGCTGAGATTTTACAAATATAATTTTTTACACATTCTTAGGTTGGTAAAAACAGCGGTCTGTATTAAGTCTCCCAATTACCTCAAAATATATTCTATATTCACCCGATTGTTTGAATCAATACGGCTGTAACTATATATCAGTCATGAATGCAAAGTAAGGTAAATGATACAAGTCGGCTTGAGATGATTATTTGTTCATTATCCAACTGCCATTCAGCAGATGACAGAGAACAAAAGTGCATCTATGGCTTGATAGACAGTTGTCTGTTGTCGACAGTCACGGACTTAACATTTTATTCATTTTGTATATACTTTTTTAAGAAACAAAAATGGTGGATGTCATTTCCGACGACACATTATCTGTAAAAATTTCCTCCGGTATGCTTTAAAAATATTTCACTACTCTCTTTTGTATGGAATGAAAAATACGTAAAGGTATGCACTGAAATATGAATGATTTTTTTTCTGATCTGATTTTTAAAGGTCAGGACAGCCAGCTAATTTTAACGTTTCTTTACTCACTTTAAAGTTAAGTCTTTAAATTTTGTCTTCCACCTGAGCTTTTATCTGCTGCATCTTAAAAGTTCTCATCTAAATCAGATTATCACATCTTTCATGGCTTGTTGAACGCTTCAGGTGAGTGATTTACTGCGTGTTATAATACTGAAGCCAATTTATGTTACGTTTAACTGTTCCACAATATTTTCCTTCCTTTGTATATATATTTTTAATGATGATTCCTGTGATTTTTTGTATGAAAACTATTACATGAGAATTATAATAATTAATTTTAACATTCAAAATTTGATTTAGAAACAATGGCCATCATTTTTAAATTATTTGGTTGTGAACCACTCAAACATTTTCATATTAAGATAATATGAGTAGCTGTCTAAAAGGCTTACGATGCAATCTAAGTTTCAGCTTATTGTCTAAAATTTATCTACTTGGAATAAAAGGATTCCGGATCATTTACTTAAATTTTCTGGATGAACATCAAAAACGTTGTTGTTGGAATAACTCATGCATAATAAACATTTAATCTGAGTAGCATCTGTGTCTAGAGAAAAAGCTATCAAAATATCATTTAAAGAAGCCAATAAATTACAAGTCATTTTTCAGTGGCACTCAGTGCATAAGTAGTGTGTAACTGTAACAGTCCCAAATGAATCTTTCTAGACATTGTCTGCCTCCAAGAAGAAGTATAAATTCAAGCAAATATAGGGGCCACTGTGCATAATAGAAACTTACTTGTAACACTTATTTAAAGCCCGAAAGAATGAGTGAAACTGGAGAAATCACCTGAAAGCATCATATAAATTATAGAAATATTTAAGAAACATTAAATAATAAACTCATTCCCCTGAGAAAAGAAGATAAGCCAGTCAAAACTAACAAAACAAGTGAATACAGATAACGCAAGAATCAGCAAGGTCCTAGAGACACGTAAAGATTTTCAGTTTCTATTTCACATTGAGTTCAGTGGTCGCATAAATAAGTCAAATTAAAACGTAGCTTTTAGCATTTCTGAACTAATTCTTAGTTCATAAGCACAATTCGCTGCAACAACGAAATTTATGAAACAGGATTTCGAGGAAAGTGTTGGACTACTAGCTTCATCTCAAGAGACAAGTTATAAAGAAAGTAAACATAATTGAGTAAACTTGTCGTTATTAGTTAAATAATCAAATGCACTAAATTTTAATAAAAATACCTTTACAAAAGCAACTTTCTTCATAAAAAACGGTTTTAAGATTACAGCTATATCAAATGATGTAAACCATGCAAACAATTTATATCTGATAAGAATTTACTATATAAGAGTACATTATTGAGTGCATATGAGCGTCAGTTACATCTAGAATAAATATAAGATAGGGTAATCTACTGAGATGCGATGTCGATTTACTGAATATACTTAAATGACAGTGAGTGTGTTTGAGTTCAAGACGAACAGAGTAAGTTTCCCATAAATCTGTCATTCAGTGGTAACGAATCCAACCTTTTTATCACAGTTATCAAAGTCTATTTCTCAAGTTTCTTAAATGAAAAAAACTTGATTCTGGCTAAAGACTGTTTGATACTGAACTTTAAGACTACATCGATAGGATGCTCTAGGATAGGATGATGACCTCATCTAAGTCCTACAGTAAAATGTCAACAGGGACGAAACCTATCTTTGGGGTATTATGTCGGCTTACCTCATTCAAAATCTAATGTCCGTTGTATTCAGTGATCAGTTTATTAACAGGGTAATAAATATATCCACAGAAAAATTGTGAGATAATAGTTGATTTTCTTTAGTTTCGTTGCCTGTAATTGTAAAATTTATTAGAAAAGGAATATTTCCTGGTGATTATCAGGGAAACTAGGTAAGAACTGTATGCTGAATAATCTGTCATATGAATGAAGTACAAGGAAAAATGAAAAATTCATAAAAATGAACATCGCAAATTTAGAAAAAGAAGGTTCTGAAAACC